TGCATTTTTTTGTCTTTTGTGCGACTCTCTTTTTTGCTGCAAGATCAAACTAAATAGGAATCTGACCAAATGTTTTTGGCTGTGCGGTTTAAACAGAATAGAGTTTTGTAAATTTTATTGGGACTTTAACTGGAACTGGAGCTTCTGTTCAGCTCTCCAAACACTGAAGCTGCATCTGGTCCAAAAAAAAAAAAAAAGGATGAAAATGTGGAAAATTATGGTGGAGAATCTGCGATGCTGTGGGCCTGATACACAAACTTCACTTAGTTTTAGATTTTTATTCTCTGCACTGAATGAATTTGCTGAAATTCAAGATTAGGCAAATTTGACATTTTGACAATAAAAGCTGACATACACTGTTTAAAGACTTGTTGTGGAGGATACTGCATTAAAAAGTCACTTTAGCGTTCTTGTCATTCCCGTTTTATTTTCTTCCAGAGTCTTTCAACGTAGTTTTAAAGGGGACCGGATTCAGCGGAACCAAGAGGATCGACAACCTTCTCTGCTCTCTCACTGCCAATCACGTGACTTACCGTAAATGACACACTCATGACATCTCACGCCTGTTCACGGTTTCCAACTACAATTAAAAACTGTCACTTGTTGCTACTGCTGTAAACCATCCGAAGGAATCTGTTTGCACCAATCCACACGACGCCAGACTGCTCACTGGGAAAAACCATCAAGTGCCACTTGGAACAGTGTGCAGATGTCTGAGTTGCAATGGAAAATCGGGAGTCATGGCAGTGAGAAACAAACAGTAGTTGCCTTTTATCAGTTGTGGCAAGAGAACAGAGGAGACATTATGAGGTTGAGCACAGGGAGGGAAGAGATGCTCTCTGCCCATTAGTCTATTAGCAGATCGATGGCATGAGCTGTGCTGAGGTCAGTGTCACTGAGAGGACGAGCAAACACAGCATGTGATTCCTGTTGAGCTGCTGCTGTTAGCAAAAGTGTTTACTTAACTCCCAACTTCCCTGTGTTTTGTATAAAAATCAACTTAAACAGAAAATCTAACAAAGACACTTAAGTTTATAAAATGATTTTACCTCTAAAGTTAAATGTCAAAATAACAAACACTGCATGTAATTAGTGTACAATATCTCCAGCTTTACACAACGTGCCCTTATGTTGGATTTATTCTGTTTCTGTGTTTTTCCTCTCAGATGAGAAGCCGACGGTTGTCCAAGGCGGATATCTGCTGTGTCCAGCTCCTCGTCTGCACGAGGTTGGACAGTAAGTCTGCAAACAACTCCAACCAACAAAGAATGTTTTCCTGGGAGATGCTGTTGGAATAACGTGTCTTCTTCTTTTTCTGATGCCTCTGTTTGTTGATTACAGATCAGTTGAAGTGCTGATTAGCCTGAACAATGGACAGTCATACATCTCCGCTCCCATCGCCATATACGCCACCTCATGCGTGGGTATCAATTTGAACTCTGTTGTGCTAAACAAAACAACCTTTCTGTTGGTGTAGGAGAAAAATCTGAGAGAGGATGGAGGCAGCACTGCTGTTTTTATTTTATGTTTCATATATGAATAATCATATGTGCACAGTTAGTGGGGATCACACATTTTGTGCCTTGTCTGCTGCAGTCAGACGGGATCTGGGTGCTGTGGTTGCTGCTGGCTTTGTTACTGTTACTGGCTCTTGGTTTATTCTGGTGGTTCTGGCCTCTCTGCTGCACTGTGGTAAGTTTTTGTTTCTTTTATTTCCATATTCTGTTGTTTATCAGGCTTTTGTTTTGTAAAATACCAACCACACAACACCCCGTTTCCCTAAAGAGCATTTTATAACTACATGTAAGAAGGAGGCTGAATGTTGACATTTGAAATTCTCATTTTTTTTAAACGACTGTTGAAAATGTTGGATATTGTTTTCACACAGGTCATCAGGGACCCTCCTCCCTCTCGTCCTCCTCCACCGCCTCCTGTTTTTTAAGTGAAAAAAGTCTTTTCTGAAGAACCTCCATGTTTTGGGGCACTATACCTCACGCTGTCATCTTGGCAGAGGTGGTTGAGAGAAGATCTAAATTTGGGTGAACGCAGAAGGAGCGTCGGTGGAGCTTGGGAGGCTGACAGAGAAATGCTTTGGCAGGGTTCATTTGTTGAGCTCGAGTGAGAAAACTGAATTCCTTATATTTCTGTCATACATGGTGGAGATTAAGTTAGACTGACTAACATGTCACAGTGTCTATAAAAAAAAAAGTAAATATAGAAGTCCAAATTTGGAGGCATAAATTTGTGTATATTTTTTACTCCCTAATTTTATTGTAAAGTATATTTTGATGTTTTTTCACTCAGGAACCAGAAGAGGATCCTCTGCCCAAACACAAGTGGCCTACAGTAGATGCTTCGTACTATGGAGGCAGAGGTCCTGGAGGAATCAGACGCATGGAGGTGAACATTTTAGAGTGTGACCCGGAAAACCTTTCCAGAATTTAATTTTTGTAAAGTTTGCGTGCGCCCACTTCCTGTAGGTGAGATGGGGAGAGAAGGGATCCACAGAGGAAGGGTCGCGTTTGGAAAAAGCCAAAAACGCTACAGTCACTATGCCAGAGGAAGTGGAGGAACCCATCATTCCTCGGCCCCCGCCAAGACCTCCACCTGTTTACAGCTCCCCGACCCAAACCAAATGGTACACTCCCATCAAGGTGAGACAACTTATCCATACGGTCTCTAAAATAAATTATACTGTATGTAGTCAATTTAATGCAAATTTTCTTCATAAAAAGTGACATGTTGATGTCCTCTTCAGGGGTATTGATGCACTGATGGCATTACTGAGAAGGCAGTATGACAGAGTGGCAGTCATGAGGCCAACACCTCAGGACAAGGTAAGGAGCAGCTTCAATTCTTCACTACTACGACCCAAATACAAATGAATCTGATCATTATGAGTTATAGATTATTATTTTTAGGTTCTTTAAAAGAGCAGAAATATTTTTTTCAAAATAGGTTTTCACAGATACATTTTCTTTTAAAATAGATAAACATATTTGATTTGATAAAACGTATTTAGTTAATCTTAGTTATTATCACCCAGAAAGATAAATAACAACTCTCTGCGTACACTTAGTTTACTATAATTAGCAGTGAACGCTTGCATGTATTGTCATCAAAAAAAGAGCTCAAACACTCTCCAGAGTAACAGGATTAGGTTTTGTCATTGATTTTTAGTTTGAGATTTAATAGCATAATAAAAAAAAAGCAGTTTCTCCTTTGGAATTCAGTGTAATATATTGTTCTTGCAAGGCATTAAATAAAATCCAACCTCAGATGAACAACCAGACATGACTAGACGTTTTTATTTATTAAGATTAATTTAGCAGTTTCAGACAAACTGCTAAAACCTGCTTTTTGATATCATCCATGTCAAATTCCAAAACACTGTAAGATTTGCTCTTACCTGAAAATCTGACTTATTTGTTGGTTGGAATTGGTTATTTGCTTGTTGTGTTTGGGTATTTTTTTTTTTGTAAGTTCTACCTAAATTTGAGATATTAATGGAACCAGACAATACATTTAACCAAATCATAAAATAGAAAAGATAAGTAATTTAGCAAATATGTATCATGACTTTATTTGAAAGCCTAATTTAGGTTGTCAAATTGCTTCCATAACCACATTAAAATAAATCAATACAATAATGTGTAGGTCCCCATTTAGAGTTGTGGACGATCTTTATATGTTGACTTGTGATTACAAAGTTTGACTTAACAAGAAACATGCATAAAAGACATATTATCTTATGGAATTGTGTTTTATAAGACTTATTCTTGGACATTTTCAGCAACACAACTCACCGTCCTGTTGTCTTTTAGGGTCGCTGCATCAACTTCACCAGAGTTCGTTCTCGCTGAGGTGGATCAACCTTCACTCTCGTCTAGTTTTTTTTTTTTTCTTTTGATATTTTTGCCAAAGATCACCAACACCTACTTCCAGAAGTTAATGTCTAAATTTCTGTGCATTGTAAATAAACGTCTTGATAGTTAAATGGACGGTGTTGCAACAAAATATGTATGTGAAAGTGTTTGTGTGTCTCAGAAAAAACAAAGAAAACAAATATTGATATTCTGTTTATTCAAAAGAGAAAATGTCTCTTCCACAAAAAAAAAATCTTTCATACAAGTACCCCCTGATAACATAAAAGATGCACAAGACTCTTTAAAAAATATATAACAAAATGACACACAGACGGTGTGCCTTTTAAGAACATGAAAAATGCATCATCACTTTCACTCGAAGCTGGATATTAAAGGTTCTCTCACAAATCCACAAGCGGGACAAGAGGGGCTGGATCATCTCTATACACACATACAGTTTTCACTTCACTCTAAACAAATACTTGTTTTTGACATAATACATGAACTGGTGTTGTAAAAGCTTACCATCACAGAGCCAGCCAACCTGCAACAAGCTCATTGTGAAACTCATGGTGAGTACAAGAAAACAAAACACTTTTTAAGCTTCTGATACAAAATACAACATGATTAGAAAGAATACAATGACTCATATGAGCTGGAGTCACAGAATGCCATGATTCACAGCACAGGGACTCACACTCAATTGCATTTTGCTTGCATGATGCAGCTGTCACATAATGTAGCTTTAAATGGAGCCACATTACTTAAATGCTGATAATAGTTATCACATGACTTCACTGTCCAAATTGAGATGGATGACTTGAAGGTACAGCCGCATCACTGTGTACAAGCAACTAAAAGGCTTTAATTTATGACACAATTAATTCATCATGGCTCTTTCTGTCCATAATTCTTATTCAGCAGCTGTAAACTTGTTGAACATTCACTTATTGGTACTTAGGAATACGAATCCATGCACATTTTTGCCTGTTGTCCTTTTAGCATGTTTAGATGCTTTTTGTTTTTTCTTCAAAAATTCTAGCTTAACGACAGAGTTGTTTCTGGCACTTAAGTTTTTCTTTATGTAAAATTACTGGCACTCTTTGTAGTCCCAAAGGATTGAAATGAACTTCTTTATTGTTGATTAAGTTGCATCCATTGTTCTGCAGGAGCATGCTTAGGTCCAAAATGTAAACTTTGGCCTTGGGAATATAAATCGAAAGTATCAAGTGGAGAAAACTTCTTAAGAGCGATTTTCTCGAGGAGAAGGGAAGATCTGGAAGATAAAACAAAGAACAAGTTAATTTTTTTCCATGTTGGCTTATTTCCCTATATGATTTAATTCTCATTATCCTGCACCCACCTCAGAGATCTGCGGCTGTCTTTCTCCATGTTGTTTTCTGGTCCTTCGCTCTCATAGGAGGCCAGGTGCAGCTCTGCAACAATAACACAAATTCAATTTCATTTTCCCGTGGCTTTCAAAACTGATAGTTGATGTGAAAGTGTTCTAATTTGTACTCACCGTCTTCAGTGTAAACGGACGTGGTGACCAGATACTGAAGAATGCGGCGGTCTCTGTCGAATGGACAAATTACTTGCCGCCAAACCAGGAACTCGCTCACTTGCTTTGCCAGCTCCCACAGTTTCTGTAAAAATGTCACAAAAAACGATAATGATGACGATTTTCATCTGTTAAGGTTTCTAAGGCCAGAAAATCTGTCCAGTTTCCACACATTTTAAAGATTCAAATTCTGAAGATCTCCAGACACAAATGATCAGAATTCTCAAGTGTTTTCAAAAATGAATAAGAAAGAAAGAAATTCCCATATTATAGTTAAAATCTTTCACTGGCAGATTATTTTACTGATAGCAAGAGCTTTTTCCATATATATTAAGTAATTGTCTTAAAACAATTTCCTACTTCTTGCTGAAGTTTCTTATAAGTTAGTTTTGTCTTATATTTGCACTAGAAACTAGATTGTGTGATTCAAGAACTCCTCCACAAGGGGGGGCTGTTGGTCTGCATGAGAAAGTCACATCTCCAGTTTTTATTTGAAAACTGCTTTGAACTGACCTCAAAGTTGATGTGTCCGTTTGACAGCCTGTTGGCGCAGCCTTCATTCAGGAAGTAGATGTCTTTAATGAGGAGGCTGAAGAATGGAATCACAATCTGCAGGAAGAAGATTTAGTTAGTTTAAATGTAGAAGAATGAAGTTTTTCTTTTTCAATGAGCAGCACGCTCCGGGTTCCCTCACCTTCTCCTGGCTGCTATGTGCGGTCTCGGACCTCTGGGTGGCGCCGCGGAGCGCAGTGCGGTAGTTGCTGAAGTTACTAGACGGGTCCATCTGGTGCTGGATGAGATCACACACATCGAACGTCAGCAGACAACAAAACCATGCTGACCACAGCTGAGCAGAAAACGAGTGTCTAATCTGTGAACTGCTGACGTGTGTGTGAATAATTCTGACCTCCAGGATTTCAAACTTGTCTGTGTTGACTTTGTTCCAGGTTTTCTTCAGTCTAGCGACGACTCATGTTCATCCCAGCTGAGAGACACAGGAGAAAGCGTTTAGAGACAAAGTGCAGCCTGCAGAGCTCCAGGCCTCCGCTAACTGAGTTTAGACTTCCCTAAACTGATTAAAGTCAGCCTAAACTCCAGCTGGCACTGCATTTGTTGGCTTTAGTGAATTCAGTGGCTCTGCTCTACAAAGACACCAAGGGAGTAACCCCTGATTTTTTTTTTTTTTTTCCTCCTTGGCATATTTTACAGCAAAAATAACCAAAAATGACAGGACACTGGTACAGATTCTTAATAAAAACGGATCAAATACTCACTGATGATTGCCATGAGAGAGTTAAAGTTGCCGATGTTGAAACACTCCTGAGCCACATCAATGAAAAACTCGATGCCATGAAGCACATTTCTTGTTTCTTCTTCGTGGCTGAATAAAAAGACATAAAGAAAAAGATTTAAAATCTGCTTCTAAATATATGAAAAGCTTAATCTACATTTACATTTTCAGCATGTTTCCGTGCACATACTTTCCTTCGTTAGGCATTGTCAAGTTGTTTTGGTTACTTAAGTTTCAAGAAGTCGTTTCAGTATTGTTTTAACGTTTGTTTGAACAAACGCCAACAAACCAGAAGTTTCATCAATAGATCAGTAATCCAGTTACAGATACTTTTGATTTTCACTATGTGTTTATGTCTGGAGGAAGAGAAATACACAATTGCCAAAGTCAAACACATCATGGATGGGATCATTTTCTAACCAGAGTCTTAGGGAAGAAACGAGCAATTATTTCAGTAATCAATTATTCTGACGTTTAATTGGATAAAAATAAATTACATTATATTTGAACCGAAGCTTTGGGTGAAAAGCTCCTCAAACTCCTTACAGATAAAAGTGTTTTTATGTTAAAAATGACAAATATATGTACATTTTGTATAGCTTTGGCTGAATTTAGTTTGATTTGGCAATTGGTACCTTTTAAACCCCTTAGAAATGGCAACATATGTGTTTTTTTTTTGTTGTTGTTTATATTTTTCTATTCCCATTAAAATTATGCAACTATAAGAATTAGACATTGCTCTCTGACAACTAATTTGCTTGTCTGTGTGAAAAATACCATGCAGATTTCTGTTGCCACCAAGTAGCTGAGCCTGTTGAACCAGTTGACGTAGGCCTCCAGGTTACTGGTTTTACGTTTCCGGAAGAAACCCTGGAGGAGGAACAGAAGAAGAGAAAGACGCAATGAAACCAATTAACTGTTAGTAAACATTTAAAGAAGGACTAGGAAGAAACTCTTCCAGAACCGCACCAAGTAATGCCTGCATAAATACTAAATTAACTTTACTGGCAATGATTTATGTTTTAAAACTTAATTTTATATAGAGTAACAACTACAGAGTATCTACATTGCAAAAAAGAAAAGAAGTGGGATTTTTAGCTGCTTCCATTCACTGCTGTTTTATATTTGCTTGGTAGCTAATGTTGGCAGGGTTTGAAAAAAAGAGATTCCTTGGGTGTGATGTTCAAAATGTCATAATGTTATGCATAACAAATTATTTGATGTCTGAATATATTTAAAAAAATCAATCATCGGTCTTTAGCAACTTCTCATTTTTGTCTCATTTCATTCTTTTAGAGTTTTGTACATATTTGTCACCTTCAAACATTAAAAAGATTTTAACTGCTGTGAACTAACAGCTGAAGTGTAACAAAAGGGATGATGCATGTTCTGTAGTAGGACAAAAGACTAATGTGATATAAATCTCATATGATGTGCCACATCTGCTTATTTCTTAAGTTTTTTTCATAAATGTGACAAAGAAAGCTGCTCCTCTTCTATAACTTTCTTCCTTAATAGATCCTGTCGGCTTTTCACACCAACACAATCTGCCACCGTCACACACGTCTCTCTTTACGCACATATGCTTTCTGGGTGCCCTGGCTTTTCCATTAAACATGTGGTTTCAAACCTGTTTTCCAAAGGTCCTCTTACAAATAAAAGCTGTGTATAAATAAACCGGACTCGGCCGTGATGATGCAATCCCAGAGGTTTGAGGCTCCGCTAAAAGCTTACGCAACACCGGCATCCCACTCCACTCCAAACTTCCCCCTCTCTACACCTCAGGAGATTTTAGTGACTCAACTGCTCTTTTACGCAAAGTGGCTCTTATATAACTGCAGCAAAGCAGGTGGGAGCGCAGCGGCGGCGGCAAACCGACTGAGAACGACCCTTCAGCTGATTTCTAGGATCTCTCAGCATGGAAAAGATCCTTCTCTCCGATGAACTGAGACACACGCAGCAAAGGCTCTTTTTGTTCTCTTCCAGACGTTTTCAAGAGCTCAGATAAAAATAAAGCCGAAAGCTGAACAAGTCCCCTTCTATCTGCCGCGAGGCTCTTTCATGTGGTTTCTGTGGCAAATACACTCAAACTGGAGATGACCACAACACTCAAAGCAGGCCCAGAACACAATCGAAAATCATATCAAATGGCTCAAAAATAACAATGTGTGGTTCGTCTGGGTTGGGACTTTGATGTAGATAATTATAAACAAGTTATTTTGCTGTGTTTTCCAGCTTTCTTGAGAATAAAGCAGCCCTTGCCCTAACTTATTGTTGTCTCATGCTGAAACTAAAAACAAAAGGAAACTGCTCTGCTCTCTCTGGGGTAAAATATGTGAAAATTTAACAAGACTGGATGAGAAATCACACTAGTGTGAAATATTTGGTCAGAAGCAGACCACGACTCAATATCTTGCAAAAATATACCCAACCTTTAGTACATTTTATCACCTTTCAAATACAATTTTTAATATATTTTATCTGGATTTGATTTGATGAACCCAAATCTATATTCTTTTCCTTCCATTTCTCAAATTGAAACTAACTTGTGCTGGTCAGTCACATGAAATGTTTCCTCTCAGCTTTACCTTGTGGTTTTCCAGAGGATCCTTCATCGCAAAAGACTGAATAAACTCCTCAGGACCAATGAAGCTCAGTCTATCCTAAAGGCAAACGTCAGGCAGAGAAAAGTCAGAAAAAATGATGTAAAAGATGATGCTGTGTTTAAAAACTAATAAAACACAAGAGTGACTGTCTGGCACCTTGCCCGAAAAAAAGTAACCTAATTCTTATTTAACTTTTAGTTATCTGACCTCTTACCAGTTCAATGTGTGTCAGCTGCTGAGCGAGGATGAAAGGATCGTCGCACACGCTCAGCATGTCGGCCCTTTGAGCTGAAGCCTGTTTGGTCTTCAGAGAAGCCGGACGTTCCTGCGCCGCAGCATTGAGCGCAGCTACGGCTTCCTCGTACTGACCGAGGGCAGACAGGCGCTTGATGAGACGCTGGGTCATCTGCTGCATGGCCCGCCAAGAATACTACAGACACACATGAAGACACACATGAACTAAATAATCACACTAATCTAGGTGTGGTTCCTACAGTAGATGATGGATAAAATAATTGATGGTTGGATGAACAGAAGAAACACAAGATGGGTGGATGAATGAGTGGTTGGTGTGATGGCTGGATGGTTGGTTGGTTGGGTGGTTTGATGGACTGATGGATGCTTACCTCATCCCCTCGCGCCACATGGAGTGTCATGTCCTTCAGGCATCGCATCATGCGGTCGTCTCTGAAGTCGTATGGAAAGGTTTCCGTCCACTCTGTCAGCAGCTGCACTAGTTTCGGTGCCACCTCACGGAAACGGATCTGAACATGTTGCAGACGGCACAGAGTCAGTCTAAAGACGTCATGACAATCATTTAAAATCTGTTATTTGTGAATATGACTTCTTCTTCCTGGTATCTGGATTTGGCATAAATCTCAGCTGCACTGCAGTGAGATCTCTTTCTTTCTTTATTCTCCTGGATTTGCGAGTTTGTCAGTGGGAGTGAAATTGTGTGGGACTAAGTGAAAGTGACAGTGTGTGAAATAAATACACCTGCACATGTCTGTGCCATTGTTTGTGTGTGTGTGTGGAGGTCCACCCACCTTATCCAGCAGGGCATCTCCGGATCGCTGCTGCTCCACACACAAGTGACAAACCCTGGTCATGAGCTCATATGGGTGCAGGAAGAGGCGTGAACTCAGCAGGAAGGTGAAGACATATGATCTCTGAAGACCAGGAAGCACAAACAAGTCAGGATTCTTTTACAACTACTACAAAATTTACTGCACAATCTTTAAAAAAGTAGAACGGCTACATACATCCGGGTAATAATCCACAGTGGGAACCAGATGCTGGATCAGCGCCTCAAGGGAAGCCGAAACCAAGCTGTTGTCGTGGTAACACATCTCTCCATAGCTGGTGGCAACGCCATGACCGTAGAGCCGAGCTTTCGCCGCAGCCCCGTTGTTCCGGCAGGAGTGCTCACTGCTGCAGCTGCTGCTCGTGTGGCGGTACGCTCGGCCCGGACAGGAAGTGCTGTGCTGGCGAGGGCTGCAAGGCTGCGGCGAGGAGTACGGGTTCTCCGAAATGGTACAGCTGCTGCCGTAGTGGTGCTCCTTGGCACTCACAGAGGAGACGGAGGTGGTCCGATACGCACTGTGAGGCTGCGGCACGTCGTAAGGGTTTTCGGTCGGGGAGTAGGAACCGTTGTAGATGTTGTCTCTGGACAGTTTCGGAGCAGAGCCGCTGTGGTACGGGCTCGGCGGCTGAACGTGGTTGTTGTTGCTGTACGACGAGCAGGAGTTGAACTTTCCTGCGTAAGGGGTTGTTGGGGGCATGATTACCTTCAGAAGAAAAGAAGAAACGTAAATATGAAGATTTTAGAGGCGGGCACTGAGCATGGATCTGCTAAAGCAGGGGTTACTCTCCACTTTCACCACATGCTTGCTCAGGATAAAATATCGCCATTCAGTTAGCTGGGTTTCCATATTAAAGCTAGAGGTTGTTGTAATCAACCTCTAGTTCGTTTGCCTAGAAAGTCCGGTTTGTTTGGGGAAGTGTGAATCGAACTCTGAAATGGACCAAAAAAGCTAAATCTGATCTGCCTGCCTAAAAACCCCGGTCTCTGGTAGAAGTGGACTCTGGCACGGTTCGAATTAATAAGAGAATGCAAGTGGACTAGCGAATGCTCCAATGATACAGCGCCACCATAGGCAAGGAGAGGAACGGGTTTTTAAAAGGGTTTTGTTCGCTTGACACACTGCAGTGTGAAAGAGAACCACGCCAGCTGAAAATTGAACAAATGTTGCAATCTTGGTCACCAATTGAGCAGATTTTATCGAGCTATTAGGTGTGAAAACACCCTGCATGTGGTTAAAGAGCACTGATGTCACATTTGTTGTATAATGGAGCTATAAAAAAATAAAAATTATTGAATTAAATTAAATTAAAGATGATAACTTAAATTTCATATCTGCATTTTCAGCCCTAGATATGTTTAGAGAGTTTTTGTTTTTAGAACCATGTTGTAAAATCAACTTTAAAAAAAATTATTCTCACACTTTTGATACATTAGCAAAAAGGGGAACTAACCTTGCATAGTGAAGCCGTGTTAAGTCATCACCCTATTTTTTTTTCAATGTGTGGATATGTTGTGGGTGGAAGGGTGGAGTATATTTAAAAAAAATAATTAGCAGTCATTTTCAAACACTGTTTCAGTGTAAAATATCCATAATCAATATAAGCAGAACCAGACAAGTTTCTAAGAGGTGTTGAATGAAGCAAATTTACATCAAGTAATTCCCTTTTTATCCAAAACCATCATATTTCTTTTTTATGGTGAACCATTTCCTCAAAAGCCACTGCTGCTGTTTTAAATTATGGGCTTTTTTAGGTTTAAGACTGGCTTAATTGCAGTAAGGCAGAGTTATAATAACATGTTCTCACCACATTATTTAATCCAGCTTTATTTAATGCATTACTTTTGTAGTCAGCTGACTATCCTTCAGTCAACATGAAGACAAAGCTATATCTCCTGCAGTACTGTAGATTTCCTGGTGTTATAGTATCCCTATCCACCTGATTCCCTGGGAATGTGGTAGATGTTTAAACTGCGTTCAAATATCTCACTCTGTCTCTCAAAGCTGAGACTCAGTAAGTGTCTGTGACGATAATCGCACCTAATCGCTTAATTTTAGATCTCCTCATTCTGTTATTTGGTGTTGTCAGCGGTTTATAAATCCATCTTATTTGGAAATGTTTCTCCAACGAGTCGATTTGTTGGGAATTTTTACAAATGAGCTTGTAAGAAATGTCTGCTCCACCCTATTTCACTGTATCTTTTACTACATTCTTGGAGTGAACTTGTTGGCAGTCGTGCAGCATGTGGGCGGAAAACATCATGACAAATGGATGATCTCTCAGGACAGCAATGATTTTCTGTCTTAACAGTTAAAATAATTGGACATGAGGTCGGTAAGCTGATCCCAGATCGCCAGTGGAACGTGCTTTTGCACTGGAGCCATCTTTATCCTGCTACTGTCCATGAATCCCAGGCATATATGTCTGGAACGTTTGGCACACACACATACATGCGCCAGAAAACAGAAAACCCCGCAGGAATCCAGCAGAGTTTTGTTTGTCCATTCCTGCGCCAACTGTGGAGTCTGTTTCAGCCAACATCTTACACACTCTCTCACACACCCTCGTCCACCATGGCGCCTTGCCCCGATGCCAGTATAATCCAGACTCGTATGCACAAGTTACACACAAATGCAAGACGGGAGGAGCGATGCAAACACACACAGTCACAAGGATACCGCAGCTTCTGGCATCCTGCCTGAGGAGGCCTGTCCAACTTTGTGTTCTGTGATCTCAGCCTGCTGTTAACCTTCTGACTCGGTTGAAAGATCACAGCGTTTTCACCGAAAAACAAAGTCAAAGACGTTAAAAGTTGAGATAACAGTCCAATGGCTGATATTTCCTCTGTGGCTCTGTGTTTATGTTTTCAGAGGGGTAACACGTCTCAGAATTTGAAACCAGTGGCGATTTTTTTCCAGACCCACTTCCTGAATAGTTGACCCCGTTTTGGGTTGTTGTGGCTTTCAAGCTGCGGTGCTGAAATTGCACTCTTTCTAAATCATAGGTTGGATTCCTTTTCGGACGGATTAAAAATGGCATCGGGAAAATAGCTTCATATTAAAGGGGATCGTTTGCATTCGCTCGCTTGCAAACTTTGAAACTACAGCCTTGTAGGTCGGTTTGATGTGGGTAGACAGAAATTCAGAAAACTTTTCCTGAAGTATTGGCGACACACCAACACTGTTTTGTGGGAAATTTCCGATGACCTTATTTTTTTATTTTTTGTAAATCTTTGATCTGTCGATACTGACTGAAAACAATTCTGATTTTTCTGTATTCTTATAAACTCCTGCCACAGTCACACATCAGTTATTTATATTTTAGAAGCAAAGGCGATCTCACAAAGTTTGCTGTTGAACTAAAATTTGAGTACACTTAAAATGAAGACAAAACAATTAAATTTTCAACTGTTTTAGCATCTTTTTGGTTAGCATCGTTAGCATTAAGCAGCAGAAGATGGAGATTTCTCAAAAATTTCTAACATTTCCAAATAAGAGTGCGCCCCATTTACACACATATTTTGAAAACAACAACACTTTGGTTTGTTCAGCCTTCCTGTTATCAGATAGAATTCTTGATCTCTTTCATAAGAAGTAAATTTTCCACATTGATACTGAAAGAGTCTTCTTCTCTAGGTAACTGCATTGATGTCAAAGAGTTTTGTTTTTACTGATATAAAACAAACTGGAATTCAGCGTTTCAGACAGTCAGTCAGCCATCCTCAAGCTAAAAATCGACATCTAGTCAAAAGATTTCTCAACAAATCTCTCCACAAAGATCTAAAATAGTTAGCATGCTTTTTGAAGTCAGTTTTGATTGATTCATACAGTTATGTGTTTTTTGTTGTATTCCTAATGTTTTGCATACCTTTTTTTTCTGATGCACCATCTTTAAGGTTTCCACGTTCAGCGTGGTTTCAAAACAAGCACAGTGCGTTGCTGAGACCAATGAGATGGTGGGGGTTCTACAACAATAGAGGCATTATCTCTCCTGTCATGGCATTAACAAATATTCAAAGACACCCAGGAGGAGATCAGAAGAGATCAGAGCACATTGGACACACACAGCAGCTTTCACACTCTCTGGCTCCTAGGATCACTTTTCAATCAGTCGTACATGTAAACCTTAGTTTGAGCCAGAAAGTCAGAATCTTCTGACCACATTTAGGTGCAAATGTAAATGTCTGTGTGCTCTTGGGAAGAGGAGTACCTCCAGACCAACATGTTGACTCAAGCGTTTCGCGGACCTCAAGGACAGACAGCAGCAACTCCAAAAATTGTACAAAACAGACTTTGAGGTTTCACATTTATGCATACACAGCACTGACCGACAGCAAAACTTTGCACTCATGAAAAATAGCATGCAAACTGTCTGCGGCTAGCTCAGTCATTCTGACTTATGCTTATTCAAAGCAAATTGACTGTACACTCTAACCAAAAACAAAAACAAAAAACTGTTTGCACAGATATTCCCAAGACAAATAAAACAACAACAACAACTCTCATCCGCTGAACCACTTGTGCAGCTCTATAAAGTCTGGATGCTTATCTGAAAGCAGAATCCAGTTTAATTAGTACAACAGAAACCTCATTATAGTCTGAAGTCCAGCATGAAGCATAGGTCAACACACACTGAACATTTGGGAGGTTTCGAGGACTGAAGAAACACCCTGCATCTGATAAGAGGAGCTGTAAAACAGCTTGTCAGAGTGGAACAGGCCAATGTAGAGAGCTGCTATCTCTGCTGAACTCTGCACCTCACGTACTTTGACACCAATAAGACAACAACAGGTATGAGGTGTGAGCAAGGAATGCATTCGACACTGAAGGACATTCCTAAGTCAGACTTGTTAACCCGTACTTAGATCACATGGATCCTTTGTCATCCATATTGCAAGTGATGGTTTTACATGTGCTGCACAAGCACATGTAAAACCATCACTTTTCATTTAAATACTTTTGGTTACACCCATACATGCTCTCAACCACTAACAGATCCATACGTAGAGCTAATGAGACCTGAGTAGAGCCAACAAAACTGCTAAGTGAAGCTTTTTAGAGAAGAAAATGAAACCAAGAAAAGATCTCAGCCACCATCTTTGTTGTAAGGTCAAAAGAAAATTCAGAGGTCAAAACTCACACATTTACTAGTTTAGAAAGTTCTTCCTGTTACTCCTGATTTTGGTTTCGGACTTGCTGCAACTCTGTTGAATTAAGTTAAAAAGTTAAAGTCAGGAGTAACCTTCCAAGGTTTTGGTTTCATTCTAACAACTGATGCACTAAACAATCAGTCAGTGATCAAAATCAGCCTTTTTTTTCTTTTATTAGCAGGTTGGATATAGACATCCTGGCTTTTTATATATTTTTATTAAACTTCTGATTAATAAAAGCCCACTTATTTTGAAAAGACAAATTTTTTTAATGCAGTCTTTTTAAACAAACATAAAAGTATACAGTAAATGTAAAAAAACAAAGTTCAGTATGGATGGATGAAATCTGTTATGCATAAAGTGAAAACTCCCACCTTTTTCTGTCTTTAAAACACATAATCAAGTAGCATGTTCATAGGTAAACTAATTCTAGTTTAATTACAATCAAATAAAGGTTAGAAACTTGTGAGTGGATAGTTCTATCCTCAAACAAAGCCAAAAATTGGTAGCAATCAATAAAGGGTCCATTTTTAGTTCTAACAACACAAACACAAAATAAAGTGAGCTTCACAGAAGCAGGCATATTTTAGCATTTTTCTCATGACAGTTGAACAACATAATCAACCACTTACTTATACTTAACACATTAGTGTGTTTGACGGTTATTGAACATTGTTTTAACAGCCCTGGTAACTCACAGCCAATTCATCATGCAGCTTTCCCACGTCATTCACATAGTGGGAAAAGTGCTCTACTAAAATAACGAGGAAACAGCCCAGAGTCCAAACAAACGCTTGAGGAAGCGTGCGGGTCAGAAGGGGGATCCTGCAGCCACTTTAGGCAGACCCAGTGACCATTACAACAATCTGATAAAGGAACCAGAGCCCAAACCAGATTCACGGATAAACAGGTTCTCCAGCAGTGCATTGAAGCAAGGGATGGCTTGTGGTTTCAGGTTGGTGTCACAAACACACCTGCTGCTTATTTGATGGGCTAGTACAGTATTAACCCAGAGACATAAAAAGGATCGAGACTTTATCTCCTCTAAGCTCACACACACAGTTTCTGTTGTCTTCAAACCTAATTCAGCGCTCCTAAAAATTGTTAGAAAGAACATTAGTCTTTGCAAACAATGGTCTTTCCAAATTCTCCCTAGATATGTATGTGCATGGTTGTTTGTCCTGTTTGTTTCTGTGTACTTTTCAAGACTGTAGGAACGCCTTAGACTGCTTGTCAGAAAAGATTTTAAAAGCTTGTTGAAACTTTCCATAGTACCGTTCCTACTTCTTTTAATGGGATCTGGAGTGACCGGAGCTTTGTTTACAGGTTGGACCACACACACAGCACAGACCCTCTCCCACTTGTTTCTGCACATTGCCAGAAAAGCTCAAATATTCCACACAAAACGTACTTGAGGAGTATTATTTACTTCATTCTATTTTCATTTTTGCTTAAGTCTTTACATAAAAACAAACATTATATAAAACTGTAATCCTGTACTTTACATTACTTTTGTATATTATACTGTTTTTCTGCAACTTTTGGCAGGGTAAATAAAATAAAGTAAAACACTTTCCCTTTATTTAATTTCAACGTGAATTACATAAAATCACAAAACTTCACCAATTACTACATGGAACATTCTAACTTTATTTCAATATTTTCAAATCTGACCATATCGCTTCTGTAGGAACAGCAACTAAGGTTAACCAATAATTTGAGATGGTAGTTATGCTTTCAGCTGCCAGATTACAGCCAATGAAGGGAGGAATAAAGCCTTTAAAAAAAAACAAAAAAAAAAAAACAGTCACCACAAACATCACAGCACACACACACACACACACACACTCAAAATCCATAAGCAGACCACACGCCTGTTCCACATTATGAGCTTCTTACTGAGTCATAACACAGTTAAAAACAGTGGAGGCTGACTGTAGAGAAACCATGCTGTGCAACCACAGGTGCTGGGTGAGTAATGTTTGCTTCTTTCTGACTGCCAGCCTAATTATAAACTCACATGGGCGGTAAACAATAACAACAACAAATGCAGTGACTCCACAGGGAAGAAATTGGACAATATTATTATTATTATTGTCACCTCGAGAGGCTAAGCTTTGCATTTGTCTTTCCAAGAACCAAAAACTGTTAGAAACGTGTTGATGTCACGCTGTTTTTAGGCTGTTCAGTCTTTTTGTGATGCTTAATATTTTTTAAAATGTATGCAAGTACATTGTCTAAGGAAAAAAAATCAAGTGAAAACTTTAAGGTGCAGCTAAATGTAGACATAACTCTTAAGCAAAAGAGGAAAAAAAAACTTACCTCTTACTTATGGCGCTCAAAGTCCGAATAAAAGCGTTTTCACTCGAAAAAGAGCTATTTCTATCTAAACTACCTACAAAATCTTCGACACTATCGCTAAAAGATCACATAAGTCTATCAGCAATGTCTCCGCATGGCACTCTCCTTCATTGTGTGTCTCCGCTCCTGATATTTGAGTCAATTATTTGAACCAGCAGGGCTGTGTTGACTGAGCCCCACAAAGCGAAACGTATTCAAATGACTTCACTAGAGCCGGGAAAACTAGCCAATCAGCGGACAGGGGCGGCAGCCTCAAAGGAATACACGGACCAATCCTCGAAGAGCTGGCACAAAAATCGAACTCTGCCAAGATTCTGATTGGCTGAGCCTCTCCTCGGTTGGTTCTGTGTTTTCAGGGCTTGCAAGAGGAGCTGGTGTTTTTGTTGGAGAGCTGAAATATGGAAGGTGTAAGGTTTCCCCCCAGGAATGCGTTTCTGTGTGTGGATGTGTGGTGGTCTCGGTGGCTTACGAGTCAAAAGGCTGTAAATGAAGCAGCCTATAAAGAGACAGACCATCAAAACTACTACATAACTGTAAAACAGAAGAACAAAGATGTTTACAAAATAAACATTTCAAAGTAATGTGGATTGTAAGTAGACCCCCTCATTTAATTTTGGATCCACCTTTTTTTTTCAAAACTGTTTTTAATAATTTTCCATTTTAATGAACCAACATTTTTAAACATATTAACATTCAAAAAAGAACAAGACAAAAACAGAAACAAAACTCCACCCTATCAATAATATACCATAAATACTCTAAATAGACTAAAATACAACTTATAATACCGATATGCTTTACACATGTTTCATCATAAGTCTTCGGGGTTCATTTTATTTAATCTCCAATTGAACTTCACAATACTAATAGTCTTTTAATGGAACTGTGAAAGTGAGGACAACGTTTTACTGCAATTACAGCTGTAAATCTTGTAGTTTTGTAGTTTTGAATTGACCAGGTAAAAAAAATCTGTATTAAAGTTATTGAAGAGGTATTAAAACATTACAGTTTCTATTCAACAGACCTGAGATGACCATCGGTTTTCCCTCACTGCAGGGTCGTGTTGCTAATGGAGTGAATTGCATCCAAATTTCAGCACAAGTTTTTTTTAGCTATTTTCAGCATAAAGGTGGTGTTCACTTCTGAACTTTGCAATCAGTGCAGCAGTGGTTAAAAAGGCAAATGTGCTAATTTTCAGAGCTCTATTCATTACCAAGACTCCATCTTTCTATGACAGATCTTTACTTACGTCAAACTATTCAAAGCGACGTTGAACTATTTCTTGATGTAACCCCACAGCTCATACACTGTATCTGAAATAAATTTTATTTATATTGACATCACTTATCTCCACTCTAACCTGAAACAGCTGAAAAAGTCAAGACCAGCTGAAACTGGTGAATGAAGCTCAAATCTAACCTGTGGTTTGAGCAGATTGCCCCATGCGAATGCTTGCATGTTGTTTTAAAGAACCAGTGTGTAAATTTAAGGCTTTGGGTCTTTGACTGCTTGAGCTCATATCTGACACAAGTAGGTCCATTTTTGTCCTTATTTGGGGCCTTCAACATTATTTTAGTTTGCCTCGTGGATTGAGATATGATGTGGTGGAACAAGAGTTATATAGATCTGAAGGTTTACTTTTGATATCAGTTTTTAAAAATGCAGCTCATAAACTACACTTTGTCTTATTTTAGTGAACCTGCTTTAATGGAGGATTTCTAGGGGGGGATTTGGGCACCTCATTTTTCCAATAAACATTTCACAGGATTGCAGTGTGGGCAAGATGTCTTAATTAATATGCTAATTGGGAACAAAAAGTTTCTACTTTTGATGTTTATATTAGAAATTGTGTCCTTGATGAGCAGGAGAGCAATTAAAACAGTGATTCATTATGGTTTTAAACTCTGACATAAAAGATTTTAAAGGAAATTTACAACCTTTTGGGTATCTTGATTCTACTTTTAATCAAAAATGCTTGAGAGTGTGGGATTGTAAACACGTTTTATTTTTTACTTTATTTGATCACTTTCCCACATCATGTGCTCTGAGAACTCTTTAAAGCCAGTCATACAAATGGAGTATGGTTTAGCAGCAGGGCCACGCCTCAACCCCCCATCTAACTACCCTGCAGTCTGGGTAATTAAAGGTGTGATTGCATTTATATGTCTTTTATACTCAACTCTCCTGCAAAGCATTGTCCACCCTCTGTACTATTAGATGTTTCTTTTTCAAACCTCGTCAATCTTTAGACTCTTATCCATCATCCCAACCTCATTCGTTCCCTTTCCCAACCTGATGCACCCTAAATTCCTACCTCATTCGTTCCCTTTCCCAACCTGATGCACCCTAAATTTCTACCTCATTCGCCCCCTATCCTATTCTCATTAATCCACTATCCCTTCATTATTCATCCTGTATTCCTGCCTCATTCGTTCCCTATCTAGACCTCAGTAAGCCCTCACCCTTCATCCAAATCTCTATCATCCCCCATCCATTTTCCCATTGCGCTACTGTCGTCATCTGCTAGCCGTGGTTCCTCATCCATCGTTCCTACCTCGCTTATTCTTTCATCCTTCATTCATACCTGCTTCATCCATAGATCCTTCATCTCTCATTCTTCCTCCCTGCCTCTGACACTCCTCATTCCTACCTTCTTCTTTCCTCATCTATTTCTTCATTACTTCATCCACCATCCACACCTCTTACAGTCATCTCACACATTTTTCCACAATTGATTCTTTTAATTCCTTATCCTTACTTTCTTCATCATGCTTCATGTACTCCTTCTTTCTTCACCCCAACAGCCTGCATCAGTACCTCCTTTTCCTAATATGATTAATTCTTTCAGCACCTCATTTAACTCAATTCAGTTCAAATAGGGCCAGTTCCCAACAGATGCCATCTCCAGGCACGGTACAAAAAAAGTACTTTTACGTTAGAGAAAAGCAAGAAGTTAACAGCAGTGGCAGCTTCATCTTGGAGAAAAATGCAACTAAACAGATGATCTCTGAGCTGGTTTTAAAAGCTAGTTAGTCACAACCAAACCTCAGCCAAGAAACAAGTCTAGAAACACTGAAATACAGGACCAAGTGAGTCATCTATTGCATGAGGAAGGTGTCACAACTAAACAGAATGCCAGACGTGATGAAGTTTCTATAAAAACAAAAGGAAAAGGTTAAAAATTTAAATAGCAAGAAGAATGTAGCAAAGGATCCCATCTTTCTTTCACCCCTCGTTGCCTCCATCTTTCATTCATACCTCATTGCTCTCATCTCTACTTCCTTCATCCCTCATTTTCTGTAACCTCTTACCCTCTTCACATACTGCCCTAACATCTGGGAGGGTCCTTGTTTGGCCTTTAGGAGTCAATGTACTGAGACAGAACCACATCTCTGAGTCTCCATCTCCAGCAGCAATTCTCCCGACATGATTCCATCAAATTTGCTTCTCCAACAACATCCACAAATCTCTCCCAGAAATCTTTTAAGCTGTGTGTTGTGGCGTGGTCCTTGCCAGTAAATTGCTTGTGCTGCAGCTCTCCTAAGCCATTTAATTGCACCTGATTTGTGTAAATATGTAATCTCAGTTGTTGACTCTCAATGGGAGTATAATCCCTACTCCCAGGGAACCAAAAGGATTTCATCATCCCACAACCTAAGAGACGTCATTCAACTCATAACAAAGTTTTGCCTGAATTAGAGAGAAATTCAGGAGATCATGAAAACAGCATTCTTGGGAAACAACAGAAATACAACGTTGACTTTTTTTTACCAGTGTCTTTATGGTATGTCCATGTAGATACCAGTGAAGTTGGACAGAATGAACTTTTCACTTAGTATGACTGTACAAACATATTTCAGACACCTCATCTGCTTTTCTAAATGTTTAGAGCATACTGTAAATATATATATAAAACGCACCTTCCCACGTTCTAATTTCACTTAATGCATTGCAATTAAAGCAAGATGGCTGCACATGCACCCGCCCCCTCAATTACCACCATCCACCTCATCCAGGCAGATCCTTTTCTCCCTTGCATAAATGTCAAATTACATAAACACCGATTTAGTCTTGCAGCATACCCGGGTTCTGAGGTTGTAGGCGGCACTTGGTTTCTCTGATCACAGACGCCTCTTACATTCTGACACATCACCATTCAGGCAAAAATAGCTGATTTCTGATTCGTTTGGGGCTGCGGGGTCTTCTCATTTCAATAATCCGACTCCTACGCTCCCACGCCAAGCACCCTTAGCGCACAGCTTCCGGCTGTGGTCATCTATTCATGGACCTGAAACACTCTGAGACAAAAGCGCTCCAATGCAGGCAGAGACATGCAGGCACTTGCATCTTTCACTGGTAGTAATTGACGTTCAGCAGATTCTATGAATACTTTTAAAGACTTGTCTCCTTTTGTGAATGGTTCACATCGCCGGCTGCCAAAAGTGTTGATGAAGATTTCCTGTTACATATGAAGTCAAAGCTGCTATTGTAAATGTATTAAAACTGATCTCACGCAATCATATTTTCAACATCTGTTTGAATTGTTATCTGCTGGATATGACATCACACTCTTTTTGTTTGGCATTGCCTGCATTTATGAAAGATGGGCCTTCACCAAATATCTGTTGTGTAACAACAAACTCGATAGTTAGTGTCTTGCCCAACAAGGGCAAGACACTAACTTGCCCTTGCCATGACCTCTGAAGTGGAGGCTGGTTTTTGTGGTTTTTGAGGTGTCACCTTAAATCAGGATGACATTTAATTACACTTGTTGATGTTCTAATAACATAAATATGTAAGGTACAATAAATATGTCTTTTTCTGATTAATACCCAGCTAGGAATTTACCATATTCTTCTCAATATGAATAAAAATAAGTTGAAATTTGTGTTAATTCCTCGGTTCTTGAAAAATGTTGGTGTTTTCCATAAATAAAACATACATCGAGGCTTTAAAGACACATTTCTTCATTTTATTTTCTACTCATGATGTTGACCTCATTTTCAAATATTAAACGCTTCACATTTGATGGGTTGATAAAATTTTGGTCCATGATGGTTGCTAATTTTTATCACTGTTAGAAGAACATAAAAGGTTTGGATCAACTCACAAAAGCTGCGACTGAAATGCAG